AAAAACTTGTATCTGAAAAGAAATAAAAGCTGGTTTTTCTGATACAGGTTCTACGGTATCACGTTTTGACTTTTTCAGTGAAGAATAGTCAAATTTGAAGTTCTGAGAAATCAGTACTTCAGGAAAAGAAATATTTCAACGAAACTTTGTTATTCAAACGTAATAGAAAAAAGAAGACATGAAATATGTGTTAATCACAATTGGAATATCAACCTGATCTATCGTTCTGGCAAGACACAATTTTTCCCACGGGAAAGTACCCAGAACATGCACCTAGCAGTCTGTTTTTCAGATTTTTTTGAAACTATTTCTTATTCAGTTAGGTCTTGGACATTTTTGATGCACTTTTCGAATCGAATTCATGGATGATTTTTCTTTCAAAAATTGAATTTCTGTTTTTTTTTGTATTTCTCAATGCAATCCAATAAAATCTGAACTGATTTCTCAGAACTTCGACATTGACTATTCCTCGCTGAAAAGTCAAAATGTGATACCAAAGAACCTGTATCAGAAAAAAATTAACATTTGGATTGAGGTAAGTTTTTGAGAAAAATTCTTATAAATTCTTGCAGAAATGCATGATTTTTGAAATATTTCTCCCTGAAAACGTACGAAACTATATAGTTTTTAAATGACAATTATGAAACGGGGGGGGGGGACTACTATTACAGACGTCGTTCTAAAAAAGTCGAGAAAATTTCAGGGTTTTTGCATTCTGCATTCTGCATTCTGACATGCATTCTGACATAAAGTTGGCTATTGCAGCTTTTATAAATGACAATGGTAAGTCACCGGAGCTCAACTGCTCGAAACGCGGTCACTCCAACAGTGTACCCACAAGTTCAACTCCTCGAGAAGCCTATATGAACAGAACTGCGCGAATTGCTATTTAATACTCGCATTTTTCAACCTGCCCATTTTATCACTTTTCTCCACTTCTTCCCACAAAAAATCCCGATAAATTTTAGAGAAAATCCCAAAACAGGATCACGATTGTTTGAGTCATAACCTATCCCCGTGGATTAGTGTTCAAAATTGCGTACTTTTCGATTTTTTTTCTATTTAAGATCATAACGCAAAACTCTCCGTTTTTATTGTTGGACACAACTTTTTTGAATTTTCTTGTTGCTATGTGAATTGTTAGTGTCCTTCAATTACTGACTCTTTAAAACGATCAAAATCCCTTACCAAGCAGCAAATTATTGTTCAGGTCCTTCTAAAAAAATTTATTTCCTTCAAAGAGCAGAAATTCGAAATTCAATTGATTTCGTTTGGATGTTCGCGGCGAGACCATCTAGAAAGGCTGGCAGACGTATTGTCGGAAAATTTCGCGTGTCGATTTACGGTTCCTCACAAAAAATTATTACAGTAGTGAACGCAACTTATTTCTATGAATTTAGTGGGACTTTCTGAACAAAATTTAGATTTCTTGGTATGGAAGTTATCGCTAGCATCTCTAGAATTTGTTTTCAACGAAAACCCAAACTTAATCGCAAAAGTAGCTCGAACGAGACGAAAGTCTGAATTATTACGTTTTGTCGCGCTTTTCCGTAGATCAAAAAAAATCGATGGTATTCAAATTCTCTGGTGTCACTTTTTAGAATTTGACAATAATTTTGTATTGCCCTTTTTTTCTGGTTTCTGTTTTTCGGTTGATTTTCTTTTTTTTTTCTCTCAATTTCTCTCTAAAAATTGTTTTTCCGAAACTCTACAGTTAATCAACAAGGTAAAGGTGTCACAAGTTATGTTTTTCACCAAAAGCTCAGAATTTAATTCATCACATGATTCACATGACGGAAACTCCATAGAAGGATTTGTACGTTTCCCAATCTATCTCTTGTTTTTCTTACTTTCATCAAGAAAATTGAGAAAGTGCAGGCAAAAACCCTATGTTGTTTTCATTTCATTTTTCTCTTCATCTACATTTTCTTCAAATATCGAATTAACTTAGTAACGGCACCGTCCAATAGTGGGCCGTGAGTTCAAATCTTGAGGGGCTTGTATAAACGAAATTTTGAGAAAACTTTTTTTCGTTGTTCTCCCACCTTTGAAATAATAACTTATGTCGTAACCAAACATTTTTAAATTACCGCAATTTGAATTCTTTAAAATCAGCATATTTACTTATTGAGTCGCGAATGATTTCACTAATGATTTAAAGAAAAATTATGATTTAAAGAAAAAAACAAGAACATCCAGGGAGGGTGACAGATGTTCGAATAATTTTGTGCCGCTCTTTTTTGCTGGCATCAGTTTTTTGGTTGGAGTCGTTCTCTTCCATCATTGTCCCCCCTTTTTTTGCTAAGAAACTCATTAGTTGATCGAAAAGGTAAAGGTGTCATAAGTTATGTTTTTCACCAAAAGCTCAGAATTTGACTCATCACATGTATCCCAAGACGGAAACTCCAATGAAGACTTTGCACTTTTTCCACTCTTTCTCATGTTTTTCTAGCTTTCAACAAGAAAATTAAGAAGAGGTGCGGCCGAAAACTTTAACTTGTTTTCATTTTACTTTTCTCTTCAACTACATTTTCTCCAAGTATGAAATTAATCTGGCAGCGAAAAATTAATCTAATAGTGGGCCGCATATTCAAATCTTTGAGGGGCTTGTATGAACGAAATTTTGTGAAAACTGTTTTTCACTGTCCTCCGACTGTTAAAACAAAAATGTATGTCGTGACTAAAAAAGGTTCACATCAGATTTTTAATTACTACACTTCAGGTTATTTATAATTATCAGATTCCCTTATTCAGCCAGGAACGATTTCGCGAATCATTTTGCAAATGAAGAAAAATTAGGTTTTTCGTCAAAAAGCAGAACTTCGAATTTCAATTGGCGCAATTTGCTGGGACGATCGCGACAAGACCTAGGCAGGGTGACAGACGTTTGTATTAATATATTTTTGTGCAGCTCTTTTTTGCTGGCGTCTTCTTTCCTGTTAAGATCGTTTACCTTCTTTATTTTCCCTTTCTCCGCTTTTGGAAATTTCATAGTTAATCAAGTAGCTAGAGGTGTCATGAGTTATATTTTCCACCAAAAGCTCAGAATTTGATTCATCACATGATTCACAAGACGGAAACTCCATAGAAGGTTTTGCACTTTGCCCACTCTTTTTCTTGTTTTTCTTACTTTCATCAAGAAAATTTAAAAGAGGTGCGGCCAAAAACTCTAGGTCGTTTTCAATTTATTATTTTTTTCTTCAACTACATTTTCTCTAAATATCAAATCAACCTGGTAGCAGTGCGATCCATTAGTGGGCCGACTTTGAGAGGCTCGTGTTAACTAAATTTTGTAATTTTTTTTTCATTGTCCCCCCCCCTCTTTTTAAAACAATCTTGTATATTGTAATTAGCAAAGATGCAGTTTTTTAATTAGTGTAACCCAGATTCTTTAAAGTTAGCATATTTTCATATCGAGTCGCGAATGATTTCACGAATGATTTTGCAAACGAAGTAATATGTTTTTCGTTAAAAGCAGAAATTATAATTTGAATTGGCGCAATTTGCTGGGGCGATCGCGGCGAGACCATCCAGGAAGGGTGACAGATGTTCTCATAATTTTGTGCCGCCTTTTTTTCTTTTTTCTCAGTTTTCCTTTTTCTGCTTTCGAGAATTTCATAGTTAATCAAGACGTTGAGTTGTCATGAGTTTCGTTTTTCACCAATAGCTCAGCATATATCTAATCACAAGTTTCCCATAACGGGGATTCCAGAGAAGGCTTTGCACTAGTATACCTCTTCATTATCTTGTTTTTCTTTTTTTATCTAGGTTGTGTGAGTTTTATTTTTCTCTCCATCTATCTTTTCTCTCAATTTCAAAGTAATCTTTTATCAATCTTTTCTTTTAAATTTCACTTTATCTTTTCTGTTTTTCCACTTTCTTTGTTATCAATCATTTTTTTTTCCTGTTGTTTTTATTGATAAGAAACTGTATCGTATCTTCTTTTGAATTTCGATTTTCACTTTTTCTCAAATCTTGTGAGACATTACAATGCGGTTTTGAGAACTTTTTTCTGTGTTTTTCGGATGTCTGTAGCTGTAATTTTCGTTTTGAACAGCACCTTTTTTTTATCAGAACTGCAGAAATGGAGAAATGAAGAAGTCTAATTTTTGTTTAAATTTTCTAATGATATCATATTGAACGCAGACAAATTTTCTTCATTTTTTGTTCGATTTTCTTTGGATCCACCTTTGCATCGCAATATTTCTCTATAACATATAACGTTTCATCGTATCTCTCATCAGGATTTCTCCCAAAAAAACTAATTGTCCTGCTTGGCCGTAGCCTCATTAACATCTCAATCTGTCCACTATCTCTTCCGAACATCATCACACTCAGCTACATATCGCGCATGGAATGTCTCCCTCTTGTCTTGACTCATATTAGACTTACGTTTATGCCTCTTCACGGCCCCACTTGATTTCTGCCACCTTCTGCTAATCCACCCCTAATTTACTCTCTGTATCCTCTTTTGTTTTCCATTGAGCCGACAATTAGGTTGACACTTGCTACCGGTGTGTCTTCCCCCTCTTCTTCTTCCCAGCCTAGCATAAACCACGCGTCTCCGCCCGCTTGCTTCGCTTCGATTTTCCCCCTTTTTTGTCCTTTCAACACATTGAGCGCATATTAATGCACATACACATATCTCCTTCCTCCTCTTTTGGCACTATTACGCCACCCTCCGGTCCATCCCTCTTCTCTATTCAGTGTTATTCTTCTTCTACTCTCGTCGTCTGACGCGATTCGGCTCACCAAGAACAACACACGCACGTCTGGTACACTCTTCCCTCGTTATGACCTTTCTTGGAGCTGTGGCCCTTCCTATCCGTCTCTAACCTATCTCTGCTTCTCTTAGAGTGCTATTCATTACAAAAAGAAGACTTGTTGTGTGTTTTTGTCAGTTTGTTTGCGCATTCTTCCGTTCTTCTTGTTTCCGTATCGTTTTTTTAAAGAAGTTCTCTTTTCAGGTACGTAGCTACTTAGAAAACGATAAGGATAGGATGGATTCCAAGTCGCCAGAAGAAAAAGCCAGCGCGAATTCCACCCAAACGGATGATGTCACGAAGACAGATTCGCTATCCACTTTGTTTGACTCTGGTGCTCCAGTTCAGGCCAATACGGAGGAGATTTTCGTGGAAATTGGTTATGAACGGGCTGAAAAGGCAAAAGCAACGGTCGGAACTTCAAGCCCGAATGACCAAGCGTCTGAAGAAAGTCTCTTCCAGAAGGATCTCAAGCAAGTCATGGAAACGACGGAAAAAGAAGAGCAAGTTGGAGTTCAAGACAAGATAGAAGATGTTGAATTGCTAAACCCCGTCGGTAGAGACGTAGATAAGGTAATTTCCAAAGAAACCGAATCTCTGGAACCAACTGCCAATGATGAAATCACATCAAAATGCGACTCCGGAAGTCCAAAAGGCGATTCACGGGAAGTTGTTGTGCCACGTTCGGAAGGTTCGATCTCGCCAGCATCTCCATCACTGGTTCACGAAGATGTAAGTTGATGTTTTGAATACTTTACTATCTAAAAAATGTATTTTGCAGCATACCAAAGAGCTTCTTGATGAAACCAAGGAGAGAATGGAAGATCAAGACGTCGTTGGAGAAGTCGTTGATGAGGAACAGAAAGTCTTGAATGAGGCCGCCCGATTGAACCCAATCGGCCATTTCGTGGTGTCTGAGAAGATTCCGGATTCAGTAGATAAACTCATTGAGAAAAGTCTTGAAGAAGTCATGGAGTCAAAAAAGACAGAGCATCACGTGGCAGTATTTGAAGTTCAGACAAAACTGAAGATATTGGAACAGAGAAATCTGCTGGGAAGGACCTTGTGTTCGAAAATCAGTTCAGCTCGACAGATGGACTATCTTTGCAATCTGGAGAGAATCTTGCCGAGAAGAACCTTGAAGAAGTCATGGAGTCGGCCGAGACACAAGATCAAGTGGCCGTTTACGTTCCGGACAAGACTGAGGATATTGAGATGAAAAAATCTGTTGGTGAGGACCACGAAGTCAGCAATCTACAGTGCTACACAAAATGATGCTTCCACCCTTGTACCGAAACACCTATTTAGGCCAATGTTGGTGAAAAGGTGTCAACATGAAAAACAAAGGTCTCCCTTCAAAACCTACGTACAAAAAATTTGGACCCATCACCGTGACCCGGAAAAGAGAAACCAGAAAAATTCCGAAAATCACGTTTTGGCCGATCCACAAAATGATGCTTCCACTCTCACAAAGTGAGATTTTGGGGGTTTTGAAGCTTTGAGGAGATCTTTTGAAGGCCTTAATTTAAAGAGTTTTGAGTATCTGACCCCCGTACACTGAGACTTTAATACATGGTTACTAAATTGCGGAATCCGGATATCGAATTTCCGTATTTCTGGATTCCGGAATCCAGTTTTCCGGATTCAAAATTCCGGATTCCGGTTTTTTGGATCCTGGATTATGTGTACTGAATTGTGTGTACTGAACTTCGGAATATGCACTCCGGATTCTGTATTCCGGATTCCGGATTTTGGATTCCGGTTGTCCGGATAAGCTTTTTGAATGAATTCAATCGTAACGAGAATCTGATATTCAGGTATTCTTAACAAGCAAACATTTCAGGAAGTTTCCGGGAGGGTACGAGAGCTTCTGAGATTCTGAAAAATTCGGAATCAACTTGGGATTTTGAAAGATTTTGCAGGATTATGAGAGGCGATCCAGTGGATTCGTTCTGACTATCACGACCTTCAGAAACAAAATTTAAGATTTTTGAGAAGGTTTCAAAGAAGAAGGCGTGATGGTATGGGCGGCAATTTTATCGGAAGGTTCGAACAAACTGAACTTCGTTTCGAAGAAGATGAACAGAATCGACTAACAACTCTTGGTCACGGAATCCTGACTTTTTGAGGAAGAAGCAGAAATCGGAGATTCGTGTTCATGAACGATGGTCTTTTCGGAAGTTGTGGTAGTCATAGCGGAATCAGAGGTCGCCTCTCATAATCCTGGAGAATCTTTCCAAATGCCAAGTTCATTTGGAATCCCTCAGAATCTCATAAGCATTCATAACTTTCAGGAAATTTCCTGAAATGTTTGCTTGTCAAGAATACCTGAATATCAGATTCTCGTTACGATTGAATTCATTCAAAAAGCTTATCCGGACAACCGGAATCCAAAATCCGGAATCCGGAATACAGAATCCGGAGTGCATATTCCGAAGTTCAGTACACACAATTCAGTACACATAATCCAGGATCCAAAAAAACCGGAATCCGGAATTTTGAATCCGGAAAACTGGATTCCGGAAACCAGAAATACGGAAATTCGATATCCGGACTCCGCAATTTAGTAACCATGTATTAAAGTCTCAGTGTACGGGGGTCAGATACTCAAAACTCTTCAAATTAAGGCCTTCAAAAGATCTCCTCAAAGCTTCGAAACCCCCAAAATCTCACTTTGTGAGAGTGGAAGCATCATTTTGTGGATCGGCCAAAACGTGATTTTTGGAATTTTTCCGGTTTCTCTTTTCCGGGTCACGGTGATGGGTCCAAATTTTTTGTGCGTAGGTTTTGAAGGGAGACCTTTGTTTTTCATGTTGACACCTTTTCACCATTGACCTAAATAGGTGTTTCGGTACAAGCGAAGGGTGGAAGCATCATTTTGTGGAGCACTGTAGTTAGTATGGAAGATCTCTTGGAGAATATTGGGCATTCAGGAGAATCAGAAGAGTCCGGAGAGAGCCTAGTCGAGAAGATTGCTGATGGTACCAACATGTCTAAGGAGGCAAAAGATGAACAGGTGGAAACTGATGACCAAGTTTTCGATTATTTGTCTTCGGAAGCTAACGATCATGAAGGAAATCTTGAAATCCCAGAGAAGCTCCAAGCAAAAGATGATGAGTTTGATGGCGGGAGCATCGTTGAGAAAGTGGAAACTGGAAATGAAGAGAAAGAGGAAACTGTCAAAAGTTCTGCTGAAGACGTTGCACCAATCTCGGAACTATTATCTCCAGTTGCCCATGAAAATGTCAAACAAGACAGTCCGCAATCCGAGGAGAGATCTGAATCTCCACGTTCGTCAGGTAAATCTTCACGTTCGCCAGATGCTCAAGTGGAGGAGGATGCGGATAGGAATTCTTCAGTTGGAAGTCATGGTTCGGAGATACAGAAACATGTAAGTCAATTTTTAAGAAAATATAAATTTTTAGAAATTATTTTTCCAGACTGTCCCGATTTTGGAACAAGGTGACGACGCACCCGCGGAAGGATCCAAAGAACAGAGCAATGAAGGAACCGTGGAACCAAACGAGAAAGTTTACGAGCTCATGGAACCAAGCTCAGATCACGAAGCGCAAATACAAAAAAAGGTCCAGGAAATTGGAACATTGTTGATTCCAGCAGAAAATGATGATTCTGAGCCATCTTCGACATCACCTGACTCGAAATCTCCGGTCTACAACGAAGTGAGTTGAATCTTCGCAAAATGTACCTTTTAGAATATTTTTTTCCAGCCAATCCAAATCCTAGACCAAATTCCCACAGCCAACATGATGGAAGATATTGGAACGAAGAAGTCTGTTAGCGAGGACCAAGAGCTCAAAGATCCAGTCAGTATGGAGGACCTCTTGGAGGATATTGGGAAGTCAGGAGAATCGGTGGAGCCTGAGAAGAAACTTGCCGAAAAGATTGCTGATGGTACAAACATGTCGGAGAAGGCAAAAGATAAACAGATGGAAGTTGATAACCAAGTTTTGGATCATTTGGCTTTGGAAGCTAACGATCATACTGTCACCCGTACTGGCTTTACTAAAGAAATTGGAGCAATCTCGGAACTGCCACCTCAAGTCAACGACGAAGTGAGTTGAATTTTTGGCAAATTTATCATTTAGAATATTTTTTCTAGTCGATCCGGATCCCTGCAATGGACATCGTCGACGCAATCAATGAACATCCCCAACAAAACAGTCCGCCGGCCAGAGAGAGATCTGAATCCACAACTTCGGCAGATGAATCTTCAAGTTCGCCAGATGATCAATTGGAAGAGGATGCGGACAGGAATTCTTCAGTTGGAAACCATGGTTCGGAGATACAGAAAGATGTAAGTGAATTTTTGAGAAAATATAACTGTTAAAAATTACTTTTGCAGCATATTCAAGTCATGGAAGAATGTGACGACGCACACGCGGGAGGATTCAAAGAACAGAGCGAAAAGGGAACCGAGGAACCGAACGATGACGATTCTGAGAATGTGGAGATGGACGAGAAGTCAGTGAAGGAAGGAATCGAAGGACAATCAAGGAAGTTGGTAGATCCCGAGGAGCGCGTTGTCGAGACGATTGCTGATGGTGTCAATGTGCCAGTTGAGAAAACAGGTGAACAGATGGAAACTGATGACCAAGTTTTGGATCAGCTGGCTTCAGAAGCTAACGATAATGAAGCAAAGCTTGAAAAAGAAGACGTCGGTGTGGACGACAAGATTGTGGAATCCACTGCCTCGGAAGATAATAAGAAAACAGTTTCGCAGCCAGTGATTGCCATCTCATCTAGCGCTCTAGATCCGCACATGGAGAATGGAGGAGACTTCACGGAGAAAATGGATGCTAGTCATGAAGAGAAAGAAGATACTGTTAGCCGTACAGGCCCTCCTGAAAATGTTGGTCCAATCTCAGAACTCTCATCTACCGACAACAAAGTGAGTTGAATCTTCTGAAATGTTATCACTCAAAATACTTTTTTCAGCCGATCCAGATGGACACAGTCGACGGGATTAATGAAGATATCAAAATAGGCAGTCCGCCGGCCAATGAGAGATCTGAATCTTCAATTTCGTCAGATCAATCTCCATGCTCGTCAGATGGTCAATTGAAGGAGGATGCGGATAAGAATTCTCCAGTTGTGAGCCATGATTCGGAGAAACAGAAAGATGTGAGTTGGTTTTTAGGGAAATATAAAATGTTGAATACTATTTTTTGCAGTGTATTCTAATCATGGAGCAATGTGACGACGCAACTGTTGAAAAATCCGAAGAAGCAAATGATAAAATTCACAAGCTCATGGAACCAAGTTCAGATCACCAAGTGCAAGCACAAAAAGAGGAGAAGGTAGTCGGAACATCGTCGATTCCATCAGCAAATGTTACGGAGCCATCTCCAACATCATCCGAATCGAATTATCCGGTCTACAACGAGGTGAGTTAAATTTTCAAGGAGTTTATGCTTTAGAATACTTTTTCCAGTCTTTCCAAATCTTTGGACGAATGGACGAAGCCGACGGAATCAATGAAGATGTCAAACGGGACAGTCCAGCGGCAAAAAATCTCAACGACGCTGTGAAAGTCCCCATCCTGTCAGAAACCTCGTCTCCGGTCGTGAGTTAACCTTTTAGCAACTGTAGCACATGAAAAACTTTTCCAGAGTGACCGATCTGATTCTGATGCGACGATAAGTCTTGAAGATATTGATATTTCCGTTGAAGGAGAGAAGCTAGAATCTCCCAGTTCGTCGGATCCAATACTCCTACCAAATGCTGACTCGAAGGAGGATGCTGATGTGAACTTGCCAGCCAATTCGGGGGATACACAGGAACCCGAAGAAGTAAGGATTTTTTAGAAAATATAACACAACAAAAACAATCTTTGCAGCATCCAATCGTGGAACAATGTGACGACGCACTTGTGAGAGGATTCGAAGAACCGAGAAAAAAAGGAACCGAGAACCAAACGATAAATTTCACGATCTAGTGGAACCAAGTTTGAATCACGGAGCGCAAGTACAAAAAGAGGACCAGGAATCCGGAATGTCATCGATTCCACCAGCCAAGAATGCTGAGCCCTCTCCAACATTATCCGAATCGAAATTGCCACTCGACAACGACGTGAGTTGAATTTTCAGAAAGTTTACTCTTCAGAATACTTTTTCCAGTCTTTCGAAATCTTTGGACATATGAACACAGCCGACGGAATCAATGAAGATGTCAAACGGGACTATCCACAGGCAAAGAATCTCGAAGACGTTGGGAAGATTCCCACTCTGTCAGAAACCTCGTCTCCGGTGGTGAGTTAACCTTTCAGCAACTGTAACATCCAAATAAGCTTTTTCAGAATGACGCATCTAAAGATTCTGATACGACTAGAAGTCCTGAAGATATGGATAAGTCCGTTGAAGGAGAGAGGCTCTACTCTCCATGCCCGTTAGATCCAGCACCACCAAAAATGACTGGTTTGAAAACTGATGCGGACTTGGATGCTCAAGCTGGGAATTTGCATTCGGAGATACAGAAAGAAGTGAGTTGATTAAAAAATATATAGCATCTCGAGAACTATTTTTGCGGTGTTTACAGACCCGAGAACAATGCACCGACGCAGTCGAGGAAGAAGCCAAAGAACCGAACAATGAAGAAACTGAGGAACCGAGCTCTGATGTTTGCCAAGATGCGGAGATCCCAGAACAAATTGTAGATGTCGATGACCGAGTTGTGAAAGAGAGAGAACCTCCAGCCAAGAAGGCAAAGATTGTGATTCCAGATCCGTGAGTTGACGACGACCTTATTTTTTACATGACAAAATATTACAGAACACCAGAAACAATGAGGGCTATGATGGAGGAGGAAGGTTCCAAAGAACCGAGAAGTAAAGATTCACAACATGTTGAGACAGAAGAGAAACCAGATCACAAAGCAGAAAAACAAAAAGAGAGTGGAGGCACCGACACACTCTCAACTTCAACAGAGAATGATGTTGAGAAAGCCCAGAAAGTTCTGATCCCTCATCACTCATCCAAAACTTCACCTTCAGTCGGTGAAGAAGTGAGTTGATTAAAAAAATATTGTGAAAATTCAAAAAATTTTTTCAGCAAGCCCCTGATTGCCAATTAGCGGTGGTCCCGGAACAGGTTGCTCCGCAATTGGAAACGCAAGAAAAACGTGGCAACGAAGTCCCTGCACCTCTTCTTCAGGATGAATCGATGGACACTACGAAGCCATCGTCTTCCGCGGCCGCTAACCGAAAAACTGCTCGTCAAGAAGAATCTGCCGATGAAAGGGAGCCGCCAGCTAAAAAGACCAAAATTGAGATTCAAAAGCCGTGAGTTGATAATATCCTTATTTTTCTAAATGTGAAAATATTACAGGAGAGCAGAGACAATGGCTGTCATGAAGAAAGCTATCGAAATGTCTCTCCTATACGATCATCCAGAAGAAGCTTTGTTGAAGGTGAGTTTTTTACAATTTTCAGCACAAATAGTTGAAAATGATTCATTCCAGGCTCTCGGAAAGTTTGGAGGAGATACAACATTCATGGCTAAGGAGATCAAGAAGGTTGTTGTTATCGGATTCGATCCAGTCAGTTTGCGAATGCTGAACGGAGTCGAGAATTTCTTGAATCTCAAAGCTCTACCTCACGCTTCAATCTCCTTCGAGGCTATTGCGGAGGCAACTTGCCATCCGCCAGTGATCGAAGGAGAGGTCCTGACAGAACAGCCCATCAAACTGTCACCAATCGAGTATAGCGGCTTTGTGCTGGGGAAAAAGGGAAAAGAAATTTCTAAACTCGATTCTGCGACGACTCAGTTCCTCTTCGTCCTATCTTCTGACTCGGAGGGTCTGGTTCTGGGGCCAATGCCACCGTTGCCCACCAAGAAGGGAATGCTATTCTCCAAAGGAATGGAAACGGACCTCGCTTCAGAGGAACAACGAAGAGTCATCCGAAGACGTCTCGCTTCAACAGAAACCAGCCAGTTGGCACAGTACGTGAAGGTATGTTGAGTGAGAAATTTTTCGCCGACTTTCGATAAACGTTTTTTTTTTCAGAAAGGAAGGTGCCATATGATTGTGGCATCACACACAGATGAAAGAAAGGATCCAACAGTCGGAGAAGTTTTGGAGGCTCTTGAAGCAACTCCCTTCAATACGGAGGTTCTAGAGATGCTCCGAAAAAGTAAGTTTTTTTTAAATCAAAAAAAAACCAACTCAATACTAAAATTCGATACATTTCAGATCCAACGGTTCTTCCCAATTGCTCCTTCGTGGACCGAGTGCTCCCAGTCTGTGAGGACTTCTACCATCGTGTCACCTCCATGTTAAAGCCAAAAGATTATAAGAAGCTCTTCATAGAGTTGGACGGATTCGATGAGGTCACGGTTGTGGATAATCTGGCAGCGATTATTCAACGAAATTTCAAAGCAAACCAACTACTTAAGGGGTATCGAACCTCGAAACCATCTCAAGGAGTCGCTTTATTCTTCTACAAGAAACAAGAAAACGGCGACATGATGGAGAGGATGCACGTTCTCTTCTCAAAGCTTCGGAAAGGAAACGTCGTCGGAGCATTCGCGATCCTGACCGTCGGAGCAAACAAAGACTTCAATAGATGCGGAATCTTTCTGACATCATCAGAACTGCACAGCCAGAATACTGCAAACATCGATGAGGATGACGCAGCCAAATTTTGGGAGGAGTTCAATGATGGTAAAAACGTGATGACTGGAGTGAAAGACGACTGCGACTCACAAAGCTTCATATTCCTTGTGTTAGATCCGGTGAACTAAATGTCCATTCCCCCTATCTTCATTTTAATTCTGATCCCAATCAATTCTCAATATCTCAACACATCATACTCATAATTTCTCCCCATTTCTTCTCTTTTACATCTCTTCAACAATACTGCGCAATAAATGTGTCAATCCATTTTTTCTTTATTTTGTATATAAAATTCGAAGTTTCGAACCCAAGTTGCCTCATTTTTCAGCGTTTTCAGAATTCAAGATGTCGTTTGGTTTGCTGAATAGTTTAAAGAATTTGAGGGGGGACCAAATGAGGAGTAGCTTTGGAAAGTGAGATTTTTAGAAACTTTTTCAAGAAAAAAATTCGGTTTACAGGTTGATAGACTAAAATTTGAAAGCATCGAGTGCTGACTAAAACTTGAGTTTCAACGTCTTCATCAGATCGACGTCGGTATGAGCTATGGAAGTAGGCCAATGTGAGTTTTCAAAGACTTCAGATGAAAAAATATTACATTTTCAGACTGTCGACTAAAATTTGAATGAAAGAAGTGCTGTGAACGGACTAGAATCAGTGCCTCGTCATCTTGGAAAGCGGATACAGATTCTCAATATCATCCAAAGCTCGGAAATTCTCTCAATCCTTAACAAAGGCGTGAAAGCGCTTGTTGACTGACGAAACTACATCTGAAACTTTTTCTCCGTCACAATGGAAATAAAAGAAGCCTATTTCCAGTGTCCCTATCTTTTTTATATGGATTTTCATCAGTTTCAGGAATTAAAATAAGCATATTGTCTGAATAAATATTGATTCATTTTTTCGAGCCTTTATCATTGTTTAACATAGCTCTAGTTGAAAGAGCAGACACCCTTTTCGGATAGAGTCATTTTCTTCTCAGGTTTCTGATTATTTGTCTCTTGATTGCTTCCGAAGTGCTCCACGACGTCGCGTACTTGATAAATGTTCCGATAATTTTCGAAATTCTCCTCCGAATTTTCTAAATGCCTCGATTGGACAATTATCTTCCATTGTATTGCTTCCAAACGAACGGAAATGTTTCTGAAAAATTTTGCAAAACTAATTTCCGCTTATTCAAGCTTTTTCTCGCTCACTAAAAAGTTTTTCAGCCAAAAATAGGGTTTTCGAAAATCTAAATATTGCTCCGTAAATCCACACACGCAATCCGCAATACACCGTGCACCTTCACTACACAAGGAACAAATTGTCGTCAAAAAACTCCTATTCGAAGGAGAATCTGAAAAAATGAAAATAAGAAACAGTTAAGAAATAAGATGAAATATCGATATGCTACTCAAAATAGCCGAAATCAAAAACGATAAAATTGCGAAATCTACCGTAACCATAGTTGAGAAGCTTGCTATCCGGCCAAAGTGGACCAACATTTTATCAAAAAAAATCTGTGTAAACTCATGAAATGAGTAAAACAGCTTGGTGGAAATCTTAAAACAGATATTACGAAACTGCTTTTTAGGTTAAAAAATTGAGTTTTTAAAAAGTTTAAAAAAAACGTTATCAGCTTAATGTACCAATTATGATATCGTGGAAGATTAAACTTGGAAATTTGACCATCATCTCAATTATCTGCTGATTTTTTCTCAAGCCAAAACCCTTACGATCAACATTTGAATTTGGCGCCAGACATGGAACCAGATGCATATGACCTCTTCTGTGCACGAGACGCAGTGTTGCTTGTTTTTTGAATGGTTCTCCTTTGTCCCCCCTCTCTTAGGCCCAAAATCTTTTAGTTCCTTTTTCCGTGTTTTGTTTTAGCCATCGCAGTCTCGAGTCACATCATTAGATTTTCAGAAATATCTGTAAGAAGCATACTGGTTCTCAGAAATATTTTTAGGCCTGAAATACAGTGTTTGGGCCTAAATTTTGTCGAAAAAGGTTTTTTTTCAATCTTATTTTAATTTGCGTTTTTTGCCTTACAAAATTCCCAGTTTAATCACAATAGTTTTCAAGCACTTCTCAAAGTGAGATGGTTGCCACAAGGCCTAGGGTGAAGGTTATAGGCAGATGTATGCGTATGACCTCTCTTATATACGATACTCGGTTTTGCTTGTATTTACAAGTTCTCCTTCTCATATTTTCTCAGATAATTTTTTACGTAAGAAATACAATACAACATAATACAATACAATAATGAAATTGAGGGACATCTTGATTTTTCAGATCTCAAATACAGTACTCCCTTTTAGGCCCAGAATGTTTTGTTTTCTGCTTTTTTGGCCATACCTCCTAATTTTTCTTTAAGACCTTATAAGAGCTTATTCTAGACATAATAATTGGCTATTTTGGAAAAACTTTACTCTCACTGTCAGACATATCCAATAGGTAAATCGCTGACTTTTTTGGAAATACCCAACGAAGGCGATTTGAGCATGATTTTAAGTTGATTCCTTTTTGATACATCTGATGGATCTAAAGTTTCGATTTTATTCTTCCACCCTTACCAGCTTTTCTTTTCTGGCTCGTCGATCACAGCCTCTAGGACATCGATCCGGCCTTCCCATTCGTAGAATAACTTCTCTGCACTCTCTATCAAACACATACTCATTACATGGAACCGCAACACCAGTGTTCGCTTTCTCGTGAATCATAACATTGAGGTGTCGACTAGCGCGGCACAACAGCTGCCCATCAACCGGCGGACACCGCAAGTTATGGTCCTCTAATCACGCGTTAATCTATGTTCAATCGATTAGTACATGGATATCTCAGTTATGATTAGAGATCAAAGAATCTCTAGAAAGCTGCTGGTCAGGCCTATTCCTTCACAAGGAACCTCAACACCTAACAAACCTATATTTAGGTGAAAATTTCGGGATAGGTTAGAAATCTAGACATCTCTGAAAATTTTGGAATCTGCCCGCCAGTTTCAGCCGAGATTTATCAGTTTCAGTACCAAAAATCGCCTTTCAGTGCAATATCCGGGTTTTCAAAGACGATTTTCTCAAGTCCTAGGACGTTTCGAAGCATGAATTTTTTTGTGTTATACTTAAAATATAATGAAATTTGAAATTTCTAACTTTTTCTCATAATTTTTTTTTCAATTTTCGAAGAAGTCTGGAAAATCGTGAAAAAAAACATCAAAATTACAAATTGTTGTTCTTGAGAAAATGTTTGAAATGTGAAATTTTATAAAATTCTGAATACAACACAACAAACTTCGTTGTCTGATACGTCCAAAAATTTAAGAAAACCATTTTTGAAAACGCTGATTTTGCACAGAAAGGCGATTTCTGGTACTGAAACTGATACAACTCGGCTAAAAATTTTCAGAGATGTCTAGATAGGCGATTTTTGNCCTATCCCGAAATTTTCACCAAAACCTGGGTTCGTGAGATGGTGCGGTTCCCTTGTTGAAAATATGGGACGCCTGCCAAAAAAAAATCAAAACTTGTTAGAATGTCAGAAATATCCTAGCTCACTCCTTATCATGCTCAAAATTATATCAAAGTTGGAAGGATTTGAAAAAATTCGTATGTTCTACCTAAAAAAGATTCTAAAGAAGTTGAACTTTTGGGCTGAATACTGACTCGCCGCTATTTACGGAGCTCCACAGGCGCACTGAAAAAGTTTTCAAAGTTGATCCTCCAAAAAAAACCTCCACTAATTTTCTCATTTCCTTGTTGTAAACCGTCATGTTTTTAAAACAAAAAGGTTATTCAGTCTTCAATTTTTCTGAATTTCCCTCTTTTTGTTACACCAGATTACATCTAATTTTCTTTTTTATCCCGTGACAATCCTATATTGCTAGCCTTGCTAGTACCAATTTCCTCCTCTCTTTTGGCCATATGAGCAACACCAAGTAGTCTATTCTCTTCTGTACCGTATTCGATTACACAACAGGCGGACGGATGGTGTGAAATGGAGTCATGCACGCCCCCTATTCCTTGTTGCTCTCCTTCCTAGAAAAGAACCCCGCCTTTTTTGCGCTGTATTCTCTGCGTCTCTCACTCTCCCTCTTGTCAGATGTCTGAATACAGTCACTTAGTGATACCTTACAAGTCTTCTCAGTTGTCTTATTATCTCCGGACCTTTAACATGTTTCCTTAAAAATTCAATTTTTCCAGAGCAAGCCAACGCGACACACACTGCAAGCTGACCAAGAAAACAGAGCGTTTGGTGAAAAATTCGAGGAAGCTGCAGCTCAAGATCACACAGAGCAACGATTGCAAAAATGTGTTAATCTATTTCCACACATCTACAACGCTCTGAGATGGAGCCGCGGAGAGGAAGCTGTTCAAAAATATGTTAGTTGAAATGATTTCTCTTGAAATATATTAAAAACCTAAGTTTTCAGGAAACAATCAAAGAAGTGATGGACGACTTCTTCGGACCCGCGCCTTTCACGGAGGAGGAGGAAGAGGAGCTGGTTAGCCGGGAATCGGTCCAAGAAATTTTGGACCGATTCCAGGAGCTTGCAGACAGAGATGCAAGAATTCGCAACCAAAGGTAAGGCTGCAGACCAAACTTTTGTCAGCTTCTGTCTTTTTTCAGAGTGGCAGACAATCGTTAAAAAACACGAAGACTCGAGTGAAGAGACTGATTAACGCCCCCCCCCCCCGCCCTCTTTCTAATAAAATATCGTGAAACCTGTATTAGAAGGACTCCTCTAATAGAAGGACCCCAGTGAAGAAAGTCCCCTTTCAAAATGTGTCTTGAAAACAAAAAAATTCCTGTACGTTTTCAGTGACAAAATATCCCTGGAATTCCAAAATGTACAAAAAATGTTCAAAAACACTTTTTTGCTCATAAACTTGCCAATTTTTTTGAAATTGACAGATTTTCATGAATTTAGAAAGAAAATTCGTCGAGTTTTTTTTATGAAATGCCCTTCTAATACAGGTTTTACGGTATTTACCTCTTTTACTGCATTTTACTCCGAATATTCAAAAAAAAAACTGAATATTGTGTTTTTTAATGTTTGTTTTGTGTGAATTGATCAATGAAATCCCTCAATCAAATTGAATTCAATAAATACCTCCAAATTAAAAAATTCTAATTAAAAACACGACATTTTTCTGAGCGGTCCGAAATTTATTTTTTTTCCAGAGAACTTCTGTTTCCAGGTTTGCAATCTTGCGTGTCTGGTTTGTGCGTCCAGATGTAATCGACTTTTTCGAACCCAAGTTGAAAATTGCTTCCGAAATTATTGTAGGCATTCAAAAAAAATTGCAGAAAACGTAGTTTTTTCTTGACTTAGAGCATGTGATGTTGTCTGAAACGATCATGTTTCAACTGAGCACAGTTTGACAATCTTGTTGAGTGAAAACCGCCTTGTTAATACATTTTTCCACCAAAATTAGTCTATTAAATGTCGTTTTTCAATGACCAATACTACTGCTGCCGATTGAGCCGAAAACAGCAACTGTATTCCCAATTGTCCACATCTTTTTATCATCGGAATCCTAGGATGAGCAGAATCTGGAACCACCATTGCTCGAAGCGACTGGACCTTCTAAATAGCGTCTTTTGACGGAACAATGATGCGTGGAGTATATGTGTATTTCCTAACTGAAAATAAGAAAGACGCAATTTTCCCTTCCAGCTACCGTATCCCTTACGCAATTCTCAAAATCGCGTAATCGAATCGACTCTCTCCATTGCAACTGCGCTCATCTTGACCCTCGATTTGCAAAAACATGCGATCCGCATGTCCTTTAACGCCTGTATGTGTAGGGATATTACGTCCAAAGAGGCAGAAGGCAAGTCAGCAACCACTGCGGTCGTTTGAAGGAATGGACTACTGTCACAGTTATTAATCTACCGCGATTAGCACCACATGTGTGATGGTGGGGAGAAGGTGGCAAGTATTGGGCTAGAAGGAAGGAGAAGATCCAAATAGAGAAGGGGAGAAAAACAGTATTGTCGAAAAAAGATTGGCCTAGGTAACCTGCGGGTAGAGGGTTTTTCCGGATCGGCAGTAATTGCTCCCAACTATATTTTCAGAGAAAACTTGAAGCTGCAAAAATGACAAAAAATGCTCAGAATGTATCTTTATGCTTTGCCGAAATATTACCAAATTAAAATGATCTATCTGGTATAAATTTGATCAACATTGGAGAGAGAATCGATTTCGCTCGAAATCTGCGCGTTAATATACATTTATCTAATTAGCATATCGATATGTAGTTTTCAAGTAGAGCTCGAAAATTTTCTGGAACGCTACTGATAAGGCGTATTCTCTTCTGGATACGGGACGGCTGCCACAACGTTTAAAATACCTCTAGTCTTTTCCTAGTCATCAGCAAAACAATATTGTTAGAAAGAATAATAGTTTTCTCATTTTTTGCGGAGCCAAGACTTTCGGGAAGTTGATCCTGTTAGCTGAATACTGCGTGTGACGCGTCGCTATTAATTGAGCTACGAGGGCGTATTTGGAACACTATTTCCCATTTGATCCTGAAGAAAATGCAATCTATATTCCGTCTCTTTTCCTTTAGGCCGTCGTGTCCTCAAAACCAAAAGGTTATGCAATCTTCAATTATTGAGATATCCCCTTTTCGTTAGGCCAGATTACATCTCATTTCCTTCTTTATCCCGTAACAATGTCATCTCGCTAGTTTCGCTAGTACCCCTTTTCTTCTCTCTATTGTCCACGTGAGCAGCACCAGTTGTCGTTTTCTGTAACGCGTTCGATGGGCCGACGGATGGTGTCGGATGGAGTCCGCCCCCTTTTCCTCGTTTCTCTTCTTTCAAGAAAAAAGCACCGCCTTTTTAGTCTGTATTCTCTGCGTCTCTTACTCTCACTCATCAGATGGCTATATAAGCTTAGTAGCACATTGAAATACCGCACTCGCCTTATTATCTCTGCTGCTTTGATTTGTTTCTTTAGAAGGTCTTTTTTCAGAGAGCAACCGAAGTGGTCAAAAATGCAAGCTGACTAAGAAAATAGAGCCATTGGAGAGGGACTCGAGGAATCCGCAACCGGAATCGTCGAAAAGGAATCCCCAGCTCATTTAGAGCAACAATGCTATGATCTAGTGCCACACATTTGGGAAGCCCTGAGATGGAGCCGCGGAGATGCAGCTGTTCGGGAATACGTAAGTTAAATTGAGTCCGATTGAAATATCCAAAAACCCAAGTTTTTAGCGAACGGTTGGAGAAATGCTGGACGATTTCCCGCGGCCCTTGATCTCCAAGGAGGAGGAAGAGGAGTTAACCAGCCCGGAAGCGATCCAAGAAATTTTGGATCGCTTCCAGGAGCTGGCGGATAGAGAAGCAGCAGAAAGGTGAGCATATAGATTTAATTTTTGAGTATTTTGTGAATTTTCAGAGAGGCCAACAATCGCTAGAGCAAGCCGAAACGAAAAAGACGCAAAATTCTGCGGATTGTGATTGAGTGATTCAATGTTTCTTATTTTTCCTACCATCCTCACAAATTTTTTATTTTTTATTTTTCGAATTCTGAAGACTTCAAAATGTTTTAAAAGACCCTCTCTTGTCTCTTCTTTCCATTGTTTCTGCTTTTGCCATTTCAGGCCAAATTTCACTTAACCCCAAAATCGTTCCTTTCCAACATTTCGTTGTAATTCTTCCTTCTGAATTAGTTTCTTAACCCCTCTCATCTTCTCCGTGTAATTGCGCTTTCCGCTCTCATCTCTTTTTAATCGCTATCTCAATATTTCTCTATTTTCCACCCCAAAACAGTCCTTAACCTCTCGCATTCTCCCAATCGCACTGGCTCAAAACTTATTCCCATATCAAAATATTCCCCTTAATGTATTCTTTCTATTTATAATAAATTTGATCTACTTCGTTACATCGTTCGCTGAAAGGCAACCTTCTTGTCCATATTCCGTCATTTCTTTGTCCCTCGTCACGCAGCCGTGCGCTCTTCCCTTTGAATCAACTCAATAAACTCTTAATTATTGTTACAACTGGTATTTTTTTAATATCTTTTTCCCAAACAGGCGCCTAGTCTTTGAGTCCGCACACTCCGTCGCTATCTCCGTCGTCGTTACCCTCGCTAACACAGTTAGCTTCTTCATGTTCCTATCTCATAGGGAACACAAAACATTTTCTACAAACTTTCAAAAAAAGAGTGACTATTTTTTCCAGATAACTGTCTTTTCAAGTTTGCAATCGTAAGTTTTTGTTTTTGGCGGAAAGAATTAATACACTTTTTTGAGCCCGATTCTTCCTAAAATTGTCGTTGATATTCAAAAAAAACCGCCCACAAAGAATTTTTTTTAAATTTTGAGCTTGTAGTTCTGCCTGAAACACTCATGCTCCAACTGACAACTTGCCAATCTTTCTGTTAAGTCTACTCGTCGACCCTCGATTTGTAACAACATGCCGTCCGTATCCCAATTAACGCCTTTCTGTGCAGGGAGATTATGTCGAAAGAAACAGAAGGCAAGTTGGGCAAACATTGCGGTCGTTTATTGGAGGGGTCTTCTGTCACAGTTGTTCTTTTATCGCAATTAGTACCACATGTCTGCTGATGGAGAGCAGATTTATAAGGTGTATGTGTAGAGGGAAGGTGTAGAGGGAAGGATGACGAGTATTGTGCTGGAGGGAAGATATGATCCAAACGAGAGACATGGAAAATAACCAAAAGATATTGAACTAGGGAGTGTTTTGTTGTCATCTGCTCTTCAGAGGTTTTTCGGAGTGGCAAGAGTTGCGTCTTCTCTTTCCTTATAGCGTAGCAATCGCGCACCCCCATTTTCGCCATTTTGTAGAAATTTGCTTTGAAAGCTCCTAACTAAATTCATTTCAGTCCGTTTTGGCTAAATCTTTTTTTGATCGATAGACAATTTTTCTGGCTACGCGGATACCAAAAATTGTAAAAAGTTGAACTGTTTGAACCAAGATGTGACAACGGATCCGGTTTTTTTCCCCGTTTTTTGGTTTTTTCCGCCGAACTAGGGTCTAAATCAAAAATCCGGTTTTCCCATTCGATTCGTAATTTTTATAGCTACAGTTTTTAAAAAAAACTGGATTTGCTCCAAAATTAAAAGAGAAAGTTAATAGGTATTGAGTGAAAAATTGAGGAATTGTTTTGGGGCACATGTTACAGGGTCGAAGGCCCTTCATCTGAGGCCGTATTCATGAACATTTACCTAGGTAAATGCATTTACCAAGGAAAATATTTACAAAAGGAAAATATAACGTTTACTTTACAAAAATTTTAATGGGAAAATTGATTTACACATTGGAAAATAACGTGATTGGTATTCATGAAAATTATTTTCCTAATGATAAATGATTTACTCACTTGATTTTATTTACCAAAGTTGGGGGTAGGAAAATAAGATTTTCCTTACTGGTTGGATGAAACTCATTATAATAAAGTTGAAATATTGAAACTAAAACTTTGAATTATGATGCAACTGAGAATATTATAAAGGCACACAACATTTCTAGATTAAAAAAAAATCAAAAAAGTTGCACATCCCCAAAAAATCATTTCAAAAGTTAATGAAATGACAAAAATAGCATTTTTCTGACAATTTCTAGACCGTTTCCGCTTTTTATTTTTATGTTTGGCAAAAACTAAATAATCTCAATTTTTCATTTTTTGGACCATTTCTAGAGGTGACCTATGACTGGCCTTGAGTCAATGTAACTATTTATTATTGCTCCCAAAGAGAACAGATGCTAATAAGCAAAAAAAAGTTAATTGTCAAATGAAGGTCTAGCTTTGCCAAATATTTAGATATCTATTTTTAACATAAAGTTACGTAATAGCTTTTGTCAACTCTGCCATATTTTTGTAAATTACTGTGAAAAACAATATTTCAATATAGATTACAAGGGTAAATATTTACTTCGAGTAAATCCTTGTGTGAATACGGTAAATCCATTTTTTGGTAAATCGATTTACAGGTGTAAATATTTAGAAAAAATTATCATTGAAAAATCAAAAAGAAAAAGAAAATATCAGTGACGTGAAAAAAGAAAAGTCACTGTAAATCTGAAGGAAAATGCTTTCTTTCACCAATCTTTCATGAATTTCAACCACTCTATTTTACTTTTTGTAAATCATTTACACGTTCTATTTACCTTAAAGTGAATGTTCATGAATACGGCCTCTGATTCCATCTAATTGCGCGACATAGCCGCGCCTAGCGGAATCGACCGTAGGCCGAGGACGCTAGTCCAAAGATGACTGTCTACTTTTTTCTGTAAAAAAATGTTTCGATCTAAAAATTTTTGAATGAAATCAGATCTTTTTAGTTGCAAGAGTCACCTTAAATTTTTTTTATATCTTCACAGGTCAATCGGATGATATCCTGTTCGGTGTCTTTGTTGTATTCCGGTTTGTAACTGGCTCCGGATATGTACCGCCAGTCCCGCCAAGTGTCCAACCCAAGAATGGGTCTCGGATGGGTCCCAGACCGGCTAGAGTTTGATCTCCGCGAACATACGATTTTGGAAAAGGTCGATATTTAAAAAAAAAAGAAGCAAAATCACACTTTTAACATGTTGGTGATCGTTTCAGTCAGTTGTAGACGAAGAAGAAGAAGAAGAAGAATAATAGTAATTTGTGGAAGAAAAAAATTGAAGAAGATGAAGCAAGGAGTAAGGCACATGAGTGTGATAGATTTTCAATGATGGGAAAGTTTTTTTTGAGATTTCAATTAGAAAAAAAAATAAGTTGGTGGGCCTTTAGCCGATAATCATTGAAAACAATTACCAAGACCTTCAGTTGATCCGACATCGTTTAGACAATGCTTAAAATACTTTTTTATGGATGTAACTTTCCAAACAACCAACCTTTTTTTGTGATGTACAGTGCGTCCAATAATTTTTGGGCCCCTCTCGATTTTGAGGGTTCTGAAAAAACTGAAAGAGATATGAAAATGCTGTGAATGCCATTAACAAAAAGACCCTCCTACAGGCGTCCAATGATTATAGGACCCCCCAGAAAAATGAAAAATCTCAAGTAATTTAGGAAACAAAATTGGACTTTTTTTTGTTGGAAGTGATCGAAATAGTCCTAAAACAGCCTATTTTGACGGTTTACACAATTTTTTTTCTCTTTCCAAGTTTTAGAAAAAATAATTTTCAGACATTTTGGTCATTTTTTGGGTTTTTGGAATAAATCTTGAATAGCTTTGCTCTTGGGTGAAATTTTGCTCTGGAATCGATAGGATACATGTTTACAGTAGTCTCGACCATTTAATAGTTGTTCTTATGCTGTTCTGAGCTGTTGTCTGTAACTTGTGCAAAACTGACCTTGAACTTCGTGGTTCTGAATTTTGCAAAAACTTGAATTTACAAAAAAAAAGTGTTTTTTTTTGTTTTTTTGTAATTCGCCCAGATTTTTCTTGAAACCCCTCAAAAATTTTTGTCCTCCCACATTTCATTCATTCTAAGATGCTTACCTCAAATCTTCTATTGGCGAGTTTTCCATTTTCTATTTTTCATTTATTCACTTTAAAATTCCAGATGTTAACGTTGTCAGTATTCACGACAATTAGTACTGCAATGATTTGTAATAAAACATGCAACAACTCGGCGGAATGCTTGGAAGGACTGGTTTGCAAAAAGCAGATATGCGTTGATGGACCGGTCCTCAAACGACATTCAAGATCATTCCTTGACCGTTCAAAGGCTCTTTGTGTTATACCGTTGGTTTGCTTTCCATGAAAATTTCTTCGAATAATTTTATGTTTGCAACAAAAAAATAAAGTTGATTGTTGATAAAATTAATTTTTGATTTGAAGTTATTATAATTAAAACGTACGCAAAAAATCGTTGTCTAAAGTTCAAGTGTCGAATTTATTCATGAAAGCAACATTCTCTGCCAGACTTTCTCCCTTCTCTTCATTATTGATATTTTTGCTACGATTCAATGGATTCTAAGCAAAGTCTATCGGACTTAGTCTGGGTAGACCACCAAATGGAGGAAAAACTGAATAATGAAGTGATCTTCTCTGCGCACTACTCCATCGAGATCATTTCAGCTCTCCTGTCTTCAGATGGTTAACGTTGGCTTATATTCTTCTCTACAAAGAATTGGGGTGGGAAGGATCTAAGGTTGTAAACACTGAAGACGCACTAGTAATAAAAATAGGTGAAGAAGGGTTTTTCGTACCTTCTCGGCAGACTAGCATTAGTGGGATCACGGTGGCGCAATCATGAGACGTTTTGTATTAGATTGGTAAAGAAGTGATGCACATTAAGTGCAAACTACTTCAAACCACAGACAGTTTAGTTCTTTGAAAAATACATCGAATCTTTGTAAATGTGTTGTCAAAAAAGGTCTATAATAATAGAGAACTTCGTTTTGATTAATATCCTCTTGTTTGCATAAAGTTAAAATACATTAAATACAAGTATTTCTTTTTTACGAACCTAATATTTTGAGACTCCCGAAAATTATAAATCCATAAGTGTTTTTATGAACAATTGTGTTTTTTCAAATTTTCAATGCCCTTGGATACGACAAAGTGTTCTTTCAGAAAAACTACGAACGATAATTTGAGAAGTGCACAAATGTTGATATTCAGCTGTAAAATTGTATGCCTGCGAAACATCAAGCTATTAAAAAAGAACCGATTTTATTGAACTTCTTCTTTCTTCTGCATATAAATCAGTTTGATTATCAATAAATCGTCATTCGAATAAATATCATTGACACATTTCCAAAATTGACTGCGGCTATACCAAGAAATTCTGGTCATTAAAAAATTAGAAAAAAAATCATTTTTTTACAGAAAAAAATTGTGGCAGTGTTTTTCGTCAAGTTTGAAGCTGCGCACTTTACTTTTTGATTTTAACTGAAAGTGTTGAATTTGAAACGAGTTAGACGCTAGTCCCTCTGTCCTGAGAAATATTGTAGTCCTGACACCTATTTGGTCATCCCCTTGCCCCTTGCCAGTTTTTAAAAAATGTTTTACTAATATTCCACCCATTGCTCTTCAGTCTCTCTATCATTTTTTGCAATCTCCTCTTGATTTTTATGTTTCCCCCCTTGCTTCCATATTTATAGTCACCATCAAAATTACCCCCATTGATATAGCCCTCCCTTATTGACCCACAAAAAAACCTTCCACAACGTCATCGCACATCCGCAATTTGCTCCTGGTAATACTGTAAACTCCGCCCAAACAAGGTGGGATATGCCCCGCCCATGGTGTCGGGATGCGTACGTCCATGACTTTCCTCATTCATTCACCATCTCATTTTTAGTTTACAATCTTTTCCTCTCTCTTATTTTCTGGATCTTCCTTTTCTGTTATTTCTTCGATGATCGATATCTTTAGAATCGTCTTCCTGCCTTTCCTTCTTCAATGATCTTATTAGTTTTTCGTACCTCTTCTAATTCTTCATACATTTCAGATCTTCTCCAAATATGTCTTCTTATCCAACCTCCACCATCTCGGCGAGTCTGACTCCAGAGTATGATGCACTCTGGCATAAGCTCAATCCTCTTCAACACGAAATGATTATAACTGGCGTTGGTCGTCGTGTTTATCCACTATTGGAGTATCAGTTCAGTAGCATGAATCCAGACAAAATGTACAGAGCTTCGGTTCACTTTGAATACGTTGACGACAAAAAACTGAGATTCTGCAAGGGGAAATACGTCGAGTTGGTATCCCAAGAAAAGAAGGAAGCACCACGGAAGGTACAGCACAAGTCAGGAGCAAAGTTGGGATCCAAATGGATGGCCTCCCCAGTTAATTTCGAAGACGTCAGAATCACAAATGAAAAGACGAGAGAAGAGGAAAATACCTCAAACGTATGTTTCTTTGTGAAAAGAGTAAATTTTATTTTGAGTGTTTCAGGTCCATCTTCATGCTCAACACAGATACTTGCCAGTGTTGACTATCACCGAAGAGGCAGGATTGAGCTACGAAATCCGGCTCCCACACACAGTTTTTATCACAGCCACTTTCTACCACGTAAGCTTTTAAAATACAGATCAATGAAAAATAGCTTATTACTACAGATTGATGAAGTTCGCAAGATCAAAACCGATTCAAATGAATACGCCAAATCAAATAGAGGGGATCGCCGTCGTCCCCGGGCTGTCGAATTCTCCGCCACCAGTCCGTCTACCAAGAAAAGCATAAAAGAAGCTCCAGTTCAAAGAGAAGCCGTCCCAGAAGCTTCAGTTCCTTTTATCCGAAACTCGTTTCCAAACTCACCATCCATCGATCTTGCTATCTTGAGTACTCTTACATTCCCATCCGCTGGTCTCTTCACTCAAACTCAATCTTCAGCGACCATCCCCGCAGTCCAAGGCGTCTCATCAGCCGATCCATTGAATGCCTTCTCCGCGATCCCATGGTTGATGAATAATCCATTTCTGTTGGCTGCAATGGGACTTCAATTCCCAATCATCCCATTCCCGTATTTGCCTTCAACGCCGGATTCGCCGCTCACTCCAACTTCTTCTATTTCTCCAGACTCTGAGCCCACACAACCGGTAGATCCAGTAAAGGCTGCAGTTATCAATAAGGTCATCAATGAAGAGGTCGACGCATGAATCCAAAATTTTCCATATTTCCTTTTCGTGCTTCAACGACACAATTCTGTGATCCCAAAACTCTATTCATCCCATCTCTTTGTCTTCTCTTGAGCCCTACATCCCATACACACCGATCTTTCTCTTTTTTTTTTGAATCTCTCACCAAAATTGAAAAATGCATCACTCCTTCCATCCACCTATGACATGATTTTACAGTTCTTTTTTGTTTTTCGTAGTACTAAATCAATAATAAACTTTAAAAGCCTTTTTGTCGTTCGTTGGATAGCTTTTTTAGACCTGATGGCGAATTAAAGTTCTTAATAGTCGAACAGGAAAAGGATTACTGTAGTGGATCATCAATTACTCTGTCCGCACTATTTTTGAAAATCTTTAAACGTTATCGATATTTCCAGTCTTTCAATTAAGACTCCAACTTTTTCTTCAAGTGAATTTGAATAATAGATTGTTCTGTTCACTTTAAAGAGCACAGGAAAATAACTATGCCAAATTTTTTATTTGACCATATTTTTCTGAATCGAAAAAAGAAAAGACGACATTTGAAGATAAAACTTGTAACACCATCCTCCTTCAAACCAGACTTCAGTTCAATTTTCGACTACTGAAACTAGCGAAAAATGCGAACCTTGGTTTTGTTAACCACTCTTATCATTTCCTGCCTCTCAACCGAACTGGAAATTCGAGTGAACAAATCGAACTGCTATTTCGAATTGTCTCTATAAAAACTTCGGCACTGTTCTAGCATCGCGGAACGAAAAAAATCACGGAACCAAAAAAAAAACAAACAAAAAAAACATCCTTCCTAGTTACCGTATTCCTTACGCAATTCTCGAAATCGCGCAATCGATTCACCTCTCTCCATGACGCAACTGTGCTCATCTTGACCCTCGATTTGTAACAACATGCCGTCCGTATCCCATTTAACGCCTTTCTGTGCAGGGAGATTATGTCAAAAAAACAAAAGAGGCGAAAGGCAAATTGGCAAACATTGCGGTCGTTTATTGGAAGGGACTCCTGTCTCAGTTATTTTTTTACCGCGATTAGTACCACATGTCTGCTGATGGAGAGCAGATTTATAAGGTGTATGTGAAAAGGGAAGGTGAATACGGTGGCGAGTACTGCGTTAGAGCGAGGAGAAGACTCAAACAGAGAAATGAAGTCGAAAACCGATTGACCTAGGGAATGTTTTGTTGTCATCTGTTGCTCAGAGTTTTTTCCAAATTGACAAGAATTGTTTCAAGTCTATTTTAGAGGAACACCAGGCAAAAAGGATATAGTCCTCATTTTGAGCGTTTTTTATGTCAAAATTACCGATTTTCTGTGAATTTTTTCAAGTATTCAACGGAAAGATGGCCGTGTCACTATATTTTAAACAGATTAAGCATGTCATAATTGTGCTAGGAAGATGCTTTTTAACCACCATGTTGAAAGATTCGCTGAAGTGCGATGTCTAGAATAGTCCTCATTTTGAGCGCTTTTTAGGTTAAAATTACCGATTTTCTGTGAATTTTTTCAAGTATTCAACGGAAAGATGACCGTGTCACTATATTTTAAACAGATTAAGCATGTCATAATTGTGCTAGGAAGATGCTTTTTAACCACCATGTTGAAAGATTCGCTGAAGTGCGATGTCTAGAATAGTCCTCATTTTGAGCGCTTTTTAGGTTAAAATTACCGATTTTCTGTGAATTTTTTCAAGTATTCAACGGAAAGATGACCGTGTCACTATATTTTAAACAGATTAAGCATGTCATAATTGTGCTAGGAAGATGCTTTTTAACCACCATGTTGAAAGATTCGCTGAAGTGCGATGTCTAGAATAGTCCTCATTTTGAGCGCTTTTTAGGTTAAAATTACCGATTTTCTGTGAATTTTTTCAAGTATTCAACGGAAAGATGACCGTGTCACTATATTTTAAACAGATTAAGCATGTCATAATTGTGCTAGGAAGATGCTTTTTCACCACCATGTTGAAAGATTCACTGAAGAGCGATGTCTAGAATAGTCCTCATTTTGAGCGTTTTTTAGGTCAAAATTACCGATTTTCTGTGAATTTTTTCAAGTATTCAACGGAAAGATGGCCGTGTCACTATATTTTAAACAGATTAAGCATGTCATAATTGTGCTAGAAAGATGCTTTTTAACCACCATGTTGAAAGATTCACTGAAGTGCGATGTCTAGAATAGTCCTCATTTTGAGCGTTTTTTAGGTTAAAATTACCGATTTTCTGTGAATTTTTTCAAGTATTCAACGGAAAGATGACCGTGTCACTATATTATGAACAGATTAAGCATGTCATAATTGTGCTAGAAAGATGCTTTTTAACCACCATGTTGAAAGATTCACTGAAGTGCGATGTCTAGAATAGTCCTCATTTTGAGCGTTTTTAGGTTAAAATTACCGATTTTCTGTGAATTTTTTCAAGTATTCAACGGAAAGATGACCGTGTCACTATATTATGAACAGATTAAGCATGTCATAATTGTGCTAGAAAGATGCTTTTTAACCACCATGTTGAAAGATTCACTGAAGTGCGATGTCTAGAATAGTCCTCATTTTGAGCGTTTTTTAGGTCAAAATTACCGATTTTCTGTGAACTTTTTCAAGTATTCAACGGAAAGATGACCGTGTCACTATATTTTAAACAGATTAAGCATGTCATAATTGTGCTAGAAAGATGCTTTTTAACCACCATGTTGAAAGATTCACTGAAGTGCGATGTCTAGAATAGTCCTCATTTTGAGCGTTTTTTAGGTTAAAATTACCGATTTTCTGTGAATTTTTTCAAGTATTCAACGGAAAGATGACCGTGTCACTATATTATGAACAGATTAAGCATGTCATAATTGTGCTAGAAAGATGCTTTTTAACCACCATTTTGAAAGATTCACTGAAGTGCGATGTCTAGAATAGTCCTCATTTTGAGCGTTTTTTAGGTTAAAATTACCGATTTTCTGTGAATTTTTTCAAGTATTCAACGGAAAGATGACCGTGTCACTATATTATGAACAGATTAAGCATGTCATAATTGTGCTAGAAAGATGCTTTTTAACCACCATGTTGAAAGATTCACTGAAGTGCGATGTCTAGAATAGTCCTCATTTTGAGCGTTTTTTAGGTTAAAATTACCGATTTTCTGTGAATTTTTTCAAGTATTCAACGGAAAGATGACCGTGTCACTATATTATGAACAGATTAAGCATGTCATAATTGTGCTAGAAAGATGCTTTTTAACCACCATTTTGAAAGATTCACTGAAGTGCGATGTCTAGAATAGTCCTCATTTTGAGCGTTTTTTAGGTTAAAATTACCGATTTTCTGTGAATTTTTTCAAGTATTCAACGGAAAGATGACCGTGTCACTATATTATGAACAGATTAAGCATGTCATAATTGTGCTAGAAAGATGCTTTTTAACCACCATTTTGAAAGATTCACTGAAGTGCGATGTCTAGAATAGTCCTCATTTTGAGCGTTTTTTAGGTTAAAATTACCGATTTTCTGTGAATTTTTTCAAGTATTCAACGGAAAGATGACCGTGTCACTATATTTTAAACAGATTAAGCATGTCATAATTGTGCTAGGAAGATGCTTTTTAACCACCATGTTGAAAGATTCACTGAAGAGCGATGTCTAGAATAGTCCTCATTTTGAGCGTTTTTTAGGTTAAAATTACCGATTTTCTGTGAATTTTTTCAAGTATTCAACGGAAAGATGACCGTGTCACTATATTATGAACAGATTAAGCATGTCATAATTGTGCTAGAAAGATGCTTTTTAACCACCATGTTGAAAGATTCACTGAAGAGCGATGTCTAGAATAGTCCTCATTTTGAGCGTTTTTTAGGTCAAAATTACCGATTTTCTGTGAATTTTTTCAAGTATTCAACGGAAAGATGACCGTGTCACTATATTATGAACAGATTAAGCATGTCATAATTGTGCTAGGAAGATGCTTTTTAACCACCATGTTGAAAGATTCACTGAAGTGCGATGTCTAGAATAGTCCTCATTTTGAGCGTTTTTTAGGTTAAAATTACCGATTTTCTGTGAATTTTTTCAAGTATTCAACGGAAAGATGACCGTGTCACTATATTATGAACAGATTAAGCATGTCATAATTGTGCTAGAAAGATGCTTTTTAACCACCATGTTGAAAGATTCACTGAAGTGCGATGTCTAGAATAGTCCTCATTTTGAGCGTTTTTTAGGTCAAAATTACCGATTTTCTGTGAATTTTTTCAAGTATTCAACGGAAAGATGACCGTGTCACTATATTATGAACAGATTAAGCATGTCATAATTGTGCTAGAAAGATGCTTTTTAACCACCATGTTGAAAGATTCACTGAAGTGCGATGTCTAGAATAGTCCTCATTTTGAGCGTTTTTTAGGTTAAAATTACCGATTTTCTGTGAATTTTTTCAAGTATTCAACGGAAAGATGGCCGTGTCACTATATTATGAACAGATTAAGCATGTCATAATTGTGCTAGAAAGATGCTTTTTAACCACCATGTTGAAAGATTCACTGAAGTGCGATGTCTAGAATAGTCCTCATTTTGAGCGTTTTTTAGGTCAAAATTACCGATTTTCTGTGAATTTTTTCAAGTATTCAACGGAAAGATGGCCGTGTCACTATATTATGAACAGATTAAGCATGTCATAATTGTGCTAGAAAGATGCTTTTTAACCACCATGTGAAAGATTCACTGAAGAG